CTGATATAGTGTCATTCTTCCCTATCAAAGTCTATTTGAAGCAGTAGGGTTATTAACTGGTTTTTATTTTTCTTCTCATAATATGTTTACGGTATCTTTGAAATTATCAGATTTTCTTTTGTGAAAAAAAATTCCAATGAGTACATAGATTTTTTTAAAAATGTTTTTTAGCTTAACTTATGTATTTTGATAAAGGATTAAAAATGAATATTTTAACATAAAAATATATAGATTGAATATTTATTTTTTGATGAATAACAACATTTATAAACACAATCTGTTGCATTTATTTTGCCATTTTATAAATCATGAGAAAAAAAAGAGATCACAATTTTAAATTAAAATTATGCTGTGCTAATTGAAACTTTGTGTTATTAGTTAAAGTAGTATTCTTTAAATTATCTATTTTATCTTGTCTTTTAATTTCAATCATGCCTTTGTATCAAAATGGTCGCTATGCATTATAATGAAGAATTATTTTAGTAAGTTAGAGCTTCTAAAATATTGTTGTAATATAGTTTTAATATTAATTTAATTTTGATTAACCATTTATAAAGTTTTTTTTATCATAAATTAAAGCTCTTATGGTGTATTTAAATAAAAATAAAAAAAATCTGATTTAAATCAAAAAAATCCGATTTAAATAAAAATAATCTGATTTTTTTGATTTTTTTTTTAAAAAAATCAAAAAAAATCACGAACCCTGGTTTGTAGCAATTCCTGGCAACTACTTTTAACATTAGTTTAGTAAAGAAACAAGGTTCTAATGCAGCTAATTTTTTGACTTTTATAAACACAAATCTTCACGAGGCTGTTACTGGACACAATGAAAAGGTCCCTGCGACTGAGCATTAACAAGAAATAGATATCTAGAATCCCATATATCTAATATTTAATAAACTAGCCGGTGTTCTACCTAAGTGTTTTTAGAAGGGCAGCTCGTCTTAACAGCCCTTTACTCTCTATAAATGCCCCTTCTTTGCCCTTTTTGTGAAAATAAACCACCATCCCATAAAAACACTACCTTTTTACTCTTATTCCATTACAAAATATAAATAACTCATTGTTTAAATAATTATTACTTACTGTACTGATAAAATTATCTGTGTTTATAATTTTAATTTTTCTTACTATTACAAATACTTACATTGTTAGGATAAAGTTTTGTAAGTATCTCTTTTTTTTTTCAAGAGGAGGGAGTACATTAATAAATTTTTAAGTGATTTTGAATTTTAAAACTATTTAAATAAGTACCTATCTTTAATGCACCTTTAAATGTTCCTTTTTTTCATAATTATATTTATAAAATTTAATTTAATTTTTTTATAATATTTTTTTAGTTTATTTTATTTTGAAAAGAATTTATGCTCAGAGATTTTCTTTTGGGAGGCCTGTAGTTATATTTAATAAACAACAAATTTTTCTCTTGTTTTGATAATGTGTGAGATTTACTTTTTGAAATTTATACATAAAATGGTATAAGAGGGTAATTTAAAAAATTTTGAGGATCAAATTCAATTATTACACAATATTATACAATTTGATAAATTTTTGCAGTGTTAAGTGAGTGCAGTTTTAAAATTCGAAATGCCTTTTCCTATGAAGAAGCACCCTGCCCTTTTTTATTCCTAAGGAGAACTCTGAACAAGCCATTACGAATAGTAGATAATTTATCTCTTTGGTTACGCTTTCACATGCGAATGTCCACTTGTGAAACAGTGATGTTATTTCAAAGAAGGGAACATGGCTTTTGATGTATTTAATTTCATAGAGTAAATTAAAGAATATGAAAGGCTTAACAAAATTGCAAGTGTTTGATAATTTCCTAGCTTTTCTTAAATTAAATATTCTCTGTTGAGAAAAGCATAAAAAGGTGAAAGCTAATTGAACATGTTCAGAAAAAAATGTTTTAGCATAACAAACTGGCTCATGTAAATATGACTAAATATTTCTTAATAATTCTTTATGTTTAATATAAGAAAATTTTTTATTCAAAAACATTTTGAATATTTGTATAAATTAAGTTTTTCAGCAAAGTTTTATAAGTAGTTACTCCGTTTCGAAAGTACCGTGTAGTAACTATATTTTTAAAAAAAAGTAGTTGTTAATTAAATTTTTAACAAAGTAGATGAAGTTGTAGTAAACTGCAAAAATAACGTAGTTATTCCAACCACTATGTAGATACAGTAGGGAACCGATTATCCGGAACGATCGGGACCATCGCTATTCCGGATAACTGATTTTTCCGGTTTTCTGAATCGCTACAAAAAGCCGTTTTTTTTTATTGTTAAACCCAACTAAAAAAAATATTTGGTGGAAGTATAATTAATAATACTTCTTTTTAAGATTATAATCTTAAAAAGAAGAAAAAACGATAATGTAATACACTAATGATTATTTCCAAAATGACTGTAAGGTAAACATCTTGCAAAAAAGAAAGAAAAATCCTAAAATTTTATGAGGAAAAAAAAATTTTTTTTTTTAAAAATGGCAGGAAAATTTATTGAATTTTGTTCTGGTTTTTTGGTTTTCCGGTTTTCGGAATTCCGGATAACGGGTTCTGTACTGTATATATCTATATATGTAGTTTTGTATTCTGTGCAGTTTTGTAATTATTTAAGTAATTACAGATATTAATTTATAATTGAAACTTTAAATTAGTTCAAGATATGATCTGGTTTCTATTTAGCATAGTTAAACAATTTTTCTTTTTATTATTCAGTGAATTTGACTCATATGAATTCAATTATGATTCATATGAATTTTATTTTACCACAAGTGGTTAAAAGAGCTATTTAAAAAGTAGTCTGCATTTTATTTTTATTTAAATTTTCAGCATCAGATCTGCCAAGAAGCAGTTTTGTGACTTTTTATTTAATTGAATGATATAATTCATAATTAAAATAACTTTAAATGTTGCAAAACAAATGTTTTAACCCTTAAACTTCAAATTTTAAATTCAGTTCAAGATAGGAGCTGATTTCTATATAGCAAGGAAAGCAATTTTTCTTCTAATTATTCAGGGAGGAAACTTTTCAAATGTAGAATATTTTTTATAAATTAGACTTCTAATATCTCAAATGGTATATAGCTATTTAAAATGAGATTTACATTTTGTTTACGTTTATTGTAATTTTTCAGCGTCGTAGCAGGCCAGATCACGAAGACAGGTGTAGAAACTGGGAACGTACTGGAAGTTGTTCATATGGCAATACTTGCAGATACAAGCATGAAGCCTTCCCACCTCCAAATGCTTCTAGACGACCTAATAAAACTGAAAAGTAATGCTTTGGGTTACTTAACTTTGTAATGTCAGTTTGTTGACACATTTTTTTTTAAATCAAATATTGGAGATCTGTTTTAAAAGGAGCTTTAAATCTTGATTAAAGATCTAAATAATCAGTAGTGTAGGGCAAACATTTGTTTTTGATACTAGATTTTATATCATTTTTAAGCTTTATTTCTAATCTAAGGTTCATGCTATATCCATTCCTAAAATCAGTCTTACAATATTTTTTTTTATTTTTCTCATTTCTTTTGATGATACGACCACACAAAAACCTTGAGTTCCATTTAAATTAAGAAAATGAAACAGAACTTCCCTAAATACTTATCTTATCAGACTATTGCCAAATAGGTGAGAAAATAACAACTATTTACCATCCCTGTGGCAGAATATCTTCTGACTTTCTGCCAAATGCCTCTCTAATGCTAATATCTTTCTGCAAGATTCTTTTCAAAATAACAAATATACATGTTACTAAATTAAAGTAACAAAAGCATCAACTTCAAAAGAAAATAAAAAAAGGAAACTTTTTGGATCTAATGAAATATTTGTTTAATTAAATATGTTATATTTTTTTAAATTCTAATATTATGGGCCATATTCTCACATTTTGTAGGGGGAAAACACACTAATTATTTACTTTTTCGCATTTTGTGGATCATCATCATCTCATTTAAAAAATAATGAATAAATCGTGAAATCCATAGCAGTAACACAGAAAATAAAGATCGATGACGAAATCACGTTAATGGGACTCTTCAAAAAAAGGTTACTAAATGCGCGTTTTCATTTCGAGATTCAGTTGTTCTATTTAATAATATAATATTAAAAATATCGGATTTTAAAACTGTGGGGAAATCAATAGTAAAAAAATTGGAATCAAAATTTCCGCAGAAAAGAAAACCAAATTTTTTCCTTCATTAATCTTTATTTTTCATTGTTCTCAAATAAAAATAGAAAAAAAAATTTCCACTCGGATGCACGAGAAAGGTATATTTTAAATATAATTCTGAAGAAAAGATAAAATCTTTCGAAAATTTCCGCAGAAAAGAAACCAAATTTTTTCCTTCATTAATCTTTATTTTTCATTGTTCTCAAATAAAAATAGAAAAAAAAATTTCCACTCGGATGCACGAGAAAGGTATATTTTAAATATAATTCTGAAGAAAAGATAAAACCTTTCAAAACTTTCTGCAGAAAAAAAAAGACAAATTTTTTTACTTTACAAAAGAAAAATCTTTCTGCAAGAATTCGGTATTGTTCTGCGACAGCGCCGCCACGATTCTGCTGCGGGGTCAGAAATTATACCAATAGTTAAAAACTAATAATTTGGTGAAAATACCTCAAACATCACATTTGATGTTTATGCATCAGTTCATAAAACTTGCTATATTGCAGAAACTGATGAAGTACAGATCCAATACCATTGCCAACAATGAATATTTGCAATCGCTTTGAAACAATTTTCTGTCTGCAATACAAACTTTCTATTGTTTGCAGTTAATGGTCCCAGGAGATATGACTGAGGTTCAACTACAAAAAAGATTTCTTACCTGCAACACAATGTAATTAGTGAATGTGTGTTTAATGCATCTAACAACAAACTCAGTCTCGGATTCAGTGAGTTCAATAGGAAGAGAAGATTTAAACAATGGACTCAAGTTCAATGAAGAGACCTCTGGAACTGCCGACAATTGATCTGAAAAAATCAAACTAAAAATATCAGAGATGTTACAGCTCTTGTTTTAAAGAGAACTTGCTTAACTTTACAATAAAATAAAAGCTTTAGCGACAATCAGTTTTAAACTTTAATAAATGTGCACTTT